TGGCCAGAATGTAGGCTCCACTTGACGCAGGCTGATGTGACTGTGTGGGGGGGAGGGGACATTAGAGTGTAAGCTCCTCTGTACAGAGACTGATGGGACGGTGGGGGGGGGACATTAGAGTGTAAGCTTCTCTGTACAGAGACTGATGTGACTGTGGGGGGGACATTAGAGTGTAAGCTCCTCTGTACAGAGACTGATGTGACTGTGGGGGGGACATTAGAGTGTAAGCTCCTCTGCAGGGAGGGATATGAATGGTTCTCTATATAATGAAGTTCCTCATGCGGATTGTGTTTGTGTCTCTTGCAGTGTATGGTAAGACGGAGGCGTTTGGCCATCACCATCCTCTCCGTCTCTCTGTGCTTCACCCTCTCCCTCCTCAGCTGGAATATCTATGAGAATGAGCCAATCTTCGACCTCCCAGATCTTCACCACCCTTTCCCGGCCAATCTTAGCGCTCCCCCATCTCTTCGCCGATCGGCCACCCTCTACGACAGGAACTTCAGCTTCTTCCTGAACCTATCGGAATACTCCAGGATGTACCCAGGCCTCCAGGACTACAGGTGCCGGGCCGTGATTGGCCTGGACGACTATTGCCAGACTCGGGAGCCGCTAATTCTCCTGGCGGTGAAGTCCCACCCCACCGGCAGAGACAGGCGCGACTCTCTGAGAAGGACGTGGGCCAGAGGGGGAAAGTTGGGGGGTTATCACTTGAAGCGGGTATTTCTGGTGGCCAATTCCGGGTTTAGGAGGCAGATGGAGAGGCTGGTAGAGGAGGCCGCCCAGCACGAGGACATCATCCTCTGGGACTTCATGGAGAGCCACCATAACTTGTCTCTGAAAGAGCGATGTTTCCTGGAGTGGCTGTACTACCGCTGCGCCGATGCCACCTATATCTTTAAAGGTAAGGGACCGTCTACAAAGCTTACACTCTAAGGGGTGCTATGTGAAGACGTCAAGGGGAACGGATATCATGAATACAGAATAGAAATTAAAGCGTCATCCGCCCAAAAGTGATCATCCTAATGGTTGGTTATATGCAAATGCTGATCTGGTTGTGATCTGGGTCAATGAGGACGGACTGACGCAGAGTGTTCCTTCTCGGGGTATACGGAGAGTTCAATAGTATACAGTTGTTTCTCCAATCCCAACACTAATACAACCCTACCGGGCCCTCTAACCCTAACACTGGAACTCCTTTAACCCCAACACTAACCCTCCCTGTAACCCTAACACTGGCCCTCCTTTAAGCCTTGCACTAACCCTCCCTGTAACCCCAACACTAACCCTCCCTGTAACCCCAACACTAACCATAACTCTAACCATCCCTGTAACCCCAACACTAACCCTCCCTGTAACCCCAACACTAACCCTCCCTGTAACCCCAACACTAACCATAACTCTAACCCTCCCTGTAACTCCAACACTAACCCTCACTGTAACCCCAACACTAACCCTCCCTGCAAACCCTAACAATAACCTTCCCTGTAACTCCAACACTAACCCTCACTGTAACCCCAACACTGGCCCTCCCTGTAACCCCAACACTGACCCTCCCTGTAACCCCAACACTAACCCTCCCTCTAACCCCCACACTATCCCTCCCTGAACCCCCCACC